GTAGAGATACCCTAAGGAGCTGTAGGACTATTGGTTGTTTTTTTAAATTTTTTTCAGTTACAGATTAACATGGCTATCCCTCAGAAACTTTATAGCATCTCTGTGGCAGAGGCAGGGATAGAATAAAATCCTCCAGGGCCGCCTTCAATTGCCTTACCCATGAGAATATCCCTTGTTTTCCAACCGAGACCTGTTTAATTCACTATACACCGTCCACCCTCTGCAACAAATGAGACAGTGGCCCCACAGAAAACTGTGTTTACTATACAACCTGCCTGCTCCTCTGAGCAACTCCGCCCTTTACACTGAAAGAGGTAGGGACCCTAGGAAAAAAAATCTGTACAGGTTCATGTGACTGAAAATTATATAATACACATGCACAAGACAGACAAATTAAGGCTGCATATGCAAACTTAATTCTGGCATTTCCTAACTACTGAGTGCTTGACCTTGCAATCTTCACAATGTTCTTTTAGCACAGATTTGTGTAAGGAGTTAAAACAACGAAGAGACCGGTGGCATCTTAAAGACTAACAATTTTATTATAGTGTAAGTTTTTGTGAGCTGCAACTTACTTCATCAGATGCATGAAGAAAAAAATACACAGATGGTAGGGATTCAGAGATGGGAGTGTTACATCGGTGCTAATTCAATCAGGTCCCTATTTCAGCCTCAGCACTTACTTTTTAAAGCCACTTGTATATTGGAGAGAAAAATGAATTTACTATGCTCCCATTCAGGATCTAATTTTGAAATCCAACATGCAGGTCCTTGCTGGAATCTATCGCAATAAACCTGAACAACTGATGAAGCCAAAATAAATTTATGAAATTTTCTTTGCACTTCATGATATTTTGACATCGCACACAACAATAGCATGACAAGTGAGAAAGAAATTAATGAAAAATTTTAGAAGAAAAAAAATGCACAAATGTAAGAGTCAAAGGCTTTACATTTAGCTTACAGGTAAATGAAGAGAAGACCTTCAGAGAAATGGATAATGATGTCTTAGCTATAAAACAGCTTCTTGACAACACATCATTTAGTATTCTGTATTCCAACAGAACTTCATCCTCTACAAAAACTGGGCATATGAGTCAACTATTTTTTTTAAAGGAACTGGAAACACTACCTGTTCCTTTCTTTCGTTGAATGCTAAATTTCAGTCCTTTAGTATTTCAGAACTTCTGAAAAACATGCATGTGGCAGGTTTGGTTTTGTTTTAAATTGGTAAGAGGAAGAAAGACCAATTTCCCTAATAAGTAGCAAAGAATCTGAGTCTACTACATGCAATATTACAGGATACTCACTTTATGGAACTAATCATGCCCAGACAGATGCTACAAACCAAACCAGAAGGATGATTCAACCAAGAAGGGAAATGGAAGAGTTAAAAAAGAGGGAGACAAAATGTATACTAGCCTCTACAATCACTAGGCTAGGACAATTAAACACAGAACCTCCATCTGATGTTTTCTCCTTACCCCTCCTCAAAAGACTCAAGAAAAGTGCTTTGCAGAATGCTTTGGAGGTCAATAAATCCAGGCTCTGAGGGAAAGGAATTGTATTGTCAAGAGCTCTTTTTGAAGGACACGTCAGCAGCCTCCTCACTCTTACTACAGGGTTTTAGCTTCAATGCTTCTGATCACCAGTGGTGTATGACATCACTCTGGCATGTCAGGCTCCTAGCAACTTCATCCTCATGTCAAAACCAACACCTTAACCTCCATCCAGCAACCAATGAGTAACCATCACGGATCTCAAAACACAAATGTCTGAAAAAAACATTACTTAGCCAATGGGAGTCACAGCCAAAGCTTCCTTGTAAGCTTAAGTGTGGCCCAACGTGTGTTGCAACAGTTTCATCGCAACGTGTCTCTAAAATGGCATCTGAAAGGACCAGTTTTGTCATGGCGGCAGCCTGACCATTTACAGATCGAATCAAAACAAGAGGCTCAAAAGGCCGAGTCTACAACACAGACCTATATCAGTATAACTGTGTTGCTCAGGGATGTGAAAAAGCTGCACCCCATAGCAACTCAGTTATACAGACCTAACTCCTCCGCCTCTCCCCGGGTAGGGCTTCTCCTGTCAACATAGAAACCATCCCTCAGGAAGCTGGATTAACTGTGCTAATGGGAAAAGTTCTCCCATCGTCGTAACTGTGTCTTCACTAAAGTGCTGCTGCTGCGCCATTGTAGCGGTGACTGTAAAAACAAGCCCCAATAAACAAGAAGTGGGCATAATAAGCAAGTCAGTTAAATCAAGAAACTGACAGAGTAATTACATTGTTAGAATAATAAACTAATAATAATAAATACAACAAAGCAAAAGGAGGGTGCAATATGGGCAAGCAAATATTGTGGCAAGAGGAAAATATTGGTCTTTGGATGACACAACGACGCCTATTTGGATGGAGGCCAAGGAAAGGAAAAAGAGCTGAGTAATCACAACCTGCCCATTGTTCCAGGGCATACACCATGTTCAATGCGGCTGTTTCTGGGTTGCTAGGCCAGCCTGCTTATCCCTCTAATCGTCCTCTCAGGACACTTGCCTGTAAACACTGGGAGATCCTGGATGCTTTTCTTAATCTTACTTCAAAGGCCCAGCAGAGCTCGTTAAACCCAACTGACAGATTAGACTTCCTCGTTAGAAAAAATACCTTGCTTCCAAGTACATTAAATAGAACACATGTAACAACCGGTTGCTAGGCCAGCCTGCTTATCCCTCTAATCGTCCTCTCAGGACACTTGCCTGTAAACACTGGGAGATCCTGGATGCTTTTCTTAATCTTACTTCAAAGGCCCAGCAGAGCTCGTTAAACCCAACTGACAGATTAGACTTCCTCGTTAGAAAAAATACCTTGCTTCCAAGTACATTAAATAGAACACATGTAACAACCACCT